AGAAATAAAATTAGTTTGAAAAGATCATCAAAATTATAAATTCATTTGATAATCAAGAAAAAACAAACTGAGTAGCTGATTGGATTGCCATATAAGAACACTTTAGCTAATAGTTGCCAACATTATTGGGCACAGTGTCTCCACCTATTGAACTTTCTCAGTAGCTGTATGTGGATGTGAATTGATCTTTTTGCAATGAATTTCAGTGAAAGTTCAAATATATATATATATATATATAAATTCATAGTTTCAGCTTTGAATTTAATTTGGTGAAGGCTAAAATCCATTTTTAGATAACATAAATAATTTCAGGTATGCATTTTGTAACTTAATTTCAGGCTTGCAAATTGATTTTTTTTTTTTTTTTGGCTACATAAATATTTTTAAGTTAAAGTTTAATGATACACATTGTTTTTCCCACATGATAAATTTTTTTTCCATGAATAGTTCTTATGTAGCCAAATAAAACAAAAAAAAACCTTTAGAGTCTTTAAAATATTTTAAAAATAATATTAATTAATAACAAAAAAATAATATAATATCATTATATTATATTAATTATTAAATAAAAATAAATTCTTTAATACTAACACCCTTTCTCATTAATTATTATTTTATGATTCAATATATTTCAAATTCACATACACTTCTATTAATAAATTGTATGAACTTATGACTAATTCATTGGGTGGAGTGACTTTTGTCACCTTGTCAAAATGCAATTCCTCCTTCCTCCGCTTAGGGATTGGGTATATCTTGTTCAAAAAAAAAATAAAAATAAATTGTATGAACTTTATAAATTCTTGTTTGGTGATAACTGATAACCACAGCCAGACGAAAAATTCAAACACCATTAATTTGGCAACAAGGCACAAAAGAAAGCGGTACTTGTCGTTTTCTGCAACCCTTTTTCACAGTGTACTTGATTAGTCCCAAAAACAATACCCCACCACTTTGGCTAGCGTGGCACACCATCACTGGACCTTCCACCCACCCTAATCCTCCTGAGTGTAACATATTTCCAATTTTCCAAAGCATTCAGGAAACTAAATATCAAGAAACACCATCAATTTGACCCTTGAACTATGTTTGGTCCAATCAAGCAACTTCACTAACTTTGTAGTAATTAAGCCCACCTCAAGCTATCTTCATGCATTGTTTAGTTTAGTTGTTATGTTATAAGTTTAGTTGATAATTGATATTTAATAATTTAAATATATTTTATTCATTCAATTAAAAGAAATAACCTCAAACTATTTGTTAACAACTAAACTAAATAGAAATTTTGTCACTTGACAATTAAACATTTAGTCTACATTGAATACTATGATAAAGTCAAAAGTTAATAAGAATGAATGCACATGCATCATTCCTCCTTATCTGTCTTGAAATATTATTACAATTGTGGAAGAGAGGAGTGTTTTTTTAAACCCAAGCTGAAGAAATTCAAGTTTAAAGTGACAATCATCAAAGAATCATGTTAATGAGGCACACCATGATTGGATCTTCAACCAGCCTAAGCCTTCCCCATGTGTAGCATACTCTCAAGTTCTCAAAACAACTTTTTTAACCAACCCCAAAGCATTAAGGAGAGAAACAAATCCTCAAACAAATTCATTCATGAATTTTTTTAACAGATTACAAGATTATTTTATAATTTACACTATATTATCACAATAATTATAATTAAATAAAAAAATATTTAATATAAAGATTTGTTCTCTATTTACTTATTTATTTATATTTTATAATCTAACACAATCAAAATATTAACAAAAAAAAAAAAAAAAACTTAACATATAACATGCTAGTAATGAATTTTTTCTTGGTTGGAATATGTCAAGGACGTTACTGTTGTTAGCAAATAAAGTAATAAACCCATAAATCTGTCCTCTTTATAATCTTGCCCGAATTGCCCGCGTTCTATGTTTTAAGCTACCCAACCTGCCCGTTGTTGAACGCTTTCCCTCTTTCTCAAGCGGCCATCTTTCTCTTTCCTCTCTCCTTCAGAGCTCCTTTTGACTAAATTTGAGGAACAGAACAGGGTTTCAGTGATTTCCAGTTAATTATTTCTGTTGTCGAAGTTTAGCTTTTTTGGATTTTGGTTGGTGGAAATTGGCTTTTGTGAGCTGTTCTCAGATGGGTTTTCTGTGTTACCAATAAATTTCTGTGCTTTTTGTTGAGGTTTCAATTGGGTTTAGCTGATTTTTAGGCTATCTTGTTGTTTGCCCCTATTTTTATTATGTGTTTGATGGTTATGAACTAGATTTGGGATATGGGTTTTGGTTCTGAGTCTGTAAAGGTGGTGGATAAATCAAGGAAGAAGAAGGTTGTAGGAGAGGAAGAAACTGGGTGTTGGGTTAAATTGAGGTTATTGGGAGGATGCATGCCTTCCAGATCAAAAGTTGACAGCTCTTTGAGTAGTGTAACTGCTATCCCCTATGGTAATCTTCTCCTTCCCCCACTTTTTTTTTGGTTTAGAAATAAAATTTGTCCCTCTTTTGTAGGGGAGTATATTTAAGGTGTGAAGGGGGTTTGTTTATTTTTTGTGGGGTTTAATGTGATTACTTGGTGGAGATATTTCTGAAAAAACAAAGAACTTCAGCTGATATAAATGAGGACAAGACTATGAATTATTCTGAAATTAAACTGTTCTCTTCTAAAATCCCATTCATTAGGTTAAGCTATATAGATATGGTATAACACTATAACGATCAATGAGTTGTTTTTTTCTCAAAATTTTTTCATTTAATAGAAATCTTTACTAAAAATTGTTCATTTAATGATTTCCTGTTTTGCCACATGTGATTGGTTTGTTAAAATGAACATGATGTGCTGGGATCATGGGCAATTTGAACAGTTAGGCATAAGTTTTCAGATTGTATATATGTTTTCTGTTAACTTTGCTTTGTTTGTTTTCACTGTATTTTTCATTAAATTTTAGTGCCTTGGTTTTGTATGCATTCAGCAGAAAGTAAATCAACAAATGATGAAGGCAGAGACCAACCGGTTGTCCCTGTGTCCTGGACAACCACTAGTAACGCAGAAAGCACTTCATCCACACCAAAATTCAGTGAGGAACTGAAAGTTGCATCTCGGCTTAGGAAGTTCACGTTTAATGACCTGAAATTAGCAACTAGGAATTTCAGACCAGAGAGTCTTCTTGGTGAGGGTGGGTTTGGTTGTGTTTTCAAAGGTTGGATTGAAGAGAATGGAACTGCTCCTGTGAAACCTGGGACTGGGCTTACAGTTGCTGTCAAGACTCTAAACATCGATGGACTTCAGGGTCACAAAGAGTGGCTTGTATGACATCTTAACCTAGTGTTCTTTGCTTGAATTGTTGGCATGAATGCCTATTGTGTTTCTTTGATTTCATTGTTAATGTTTCATCTTTTCTGCCACATTTCAGGCTGAAGTAGATTATTTAGGTAATCTCCTCCATCCAAATTTGGTTAAATTAGTTGGTTATTGCATCGAAGATGATCAGAGATTGCTGGTATATGAGTTTATGCCACGGGGAAGTTTGGAGAACCACCTCTTTAGAAGTATGTAGTTTTTTTTTCCCCATATTTGAATGTACTTTCATTATTGCTCAGTTAAAAATTCCGTGATAGATGATAGTTAACTTGGTCTCCCAGTATAGTTTAACCAGACAAAATTCATATTTATATTGCCTTGGTCTTGTTTAGAAACTTCACTTTTCTAGCCAATGCATTACCAAATAGACCTATATGTTGTTCTGAAATGCATATTTTGCTCTAGGTTATCACTTAAACTCATGTAGCCTTTGACTTGGGTTTCCTGCCAACCTTTTTTTGATTAACAAAATTTATCAAAATAATTGGTTTTAATCTTAATAACGCAGAGGGTGACAGCTGGCAAATCTAATAATTTCTTTTGCTAAAAGCTGTCTGTCATGTTAATGCATTAAATCTCTATTCTTTTACCTAAATTTTATGCTAGCAATGAAATGAGTTTGCATTGTCCATATTTTAGCACAGAGGAGAGACTTAAAAAATAAAATCTTCTCCTTGTTACTATTTTTCTAGTCTTCTCCTTTTACTTCACATTAAATGAGGCTTGTCCTAAAAGTTATATCAAGGTGAACCATATTGTAGCAGTAACCGCTTCTCTTATTTTATTATTAAACTAGTTGTTGCTTGTCCTTTTTTATAGATTGTGATTGTGCTCTTAGATGTTTGCAAGTACATGGTTGATGTCTAATGTTTTATGGTAATAAACATGTTCGTGGCAGAAGGGTCCTTGCCTCTACCTTGGTCTATAAGAATGAAAATTGCCCTTGGTGCTGCAAAGGGTCTTACCTTCCTTCATGAAGAAGCTGAAAGGCCAGTGATATATCGTGATTTTAAAACATCTAATATCTTATTAGATGCGGTATGCAGCTAACTCTGTTAAATAGCTTGGTATCTCCTCTAAGTAAAGTACTTGTTTTTTATAAAGTAGTTGCTACTTTCAGGATTACAATGCCAAACTCTCTGATTTTGGACTAGCCAAAGATGGTCCTGAGGGAGACAAAACTCATGTATCTACTCGGGTAATGGGAACATACGGCTATGCTGCACCAGAATATGTGATGACTGGTATGTGGTGGAAGGAAAATTTTACCCTTGGATACGTTGGTAGACATTTAGGAAGATATTTGGACAATGGCAGATGCTTATTGAGTCTTACCTAACTATTTGCATGCCCCAAACCTTAGTTTAAGGCCCCAGGTTTAAGTCCATGGTTTTTTTATCTATTTGTTTATTTTTATTTTCTATTTTTTGCACATGGGTGTGGGCTATGGAAGAGCATATGGCCCTCCCCTAAATATGACCTGAGACCTTCAATCAAGATGGATTTCTTACACTCAAACTGTTGTCTGTTCCCTAACGGCTTAGGGACACTTCAAATTAATGTTTAGTTTTGCTTTGTGAAATGTTTAGAACTGCTAGATGTTCTACTTGCAGACAGGCTATTTTTGCGTGGTAAACAGTAATGGTTGTTTAATTTATATTTGTTACCTTTAAAAATTGCCACTTGGTATGAAAAATGGCATAAGCATATGGTTCCATATATCTAATTCATTTTTTATTTATTTAGGACATTTGACGTCAAAGAGTGATGTCTATAGCTTTGGAGTTGTTTTACTTGAAATGTTGACTGGCCGGAGAGCTATGGACAAAAACCGACCAAATGGGGAGCACAATCTAGTGGAGTGGGCAAGACCTCATCTTGAAGACAAGAGAAGGTTCTTTCGATTGTTAGATCCTCGCCTTGAAGGCCACTTTTCTATTAAGGGTGCTCAGAAAGCTGCTCAGCTAGCTGCTCAATGCCTTAGCCGTGATCCCAAAGTCAGACCACGCATGAGTGAAGTGGTTGAAACCCTTAAGCCACTGCCAAACCTAAAAGACATGGCCAGCTCTTCCTATTACTTCCAAACCATGCAAGGTGATCGTACTAGGTCAAACTCAAGTTCCAAAAATGGCATTAGAACACAGGGAGGATTTATAACAAGGAATGGACAATCAATGAGAATCTTATCCAGTTCGAATGGTCCTCAAGCTTCTCCATATCGCCTTCAACAGTCACCAAAGCCTAATAAATCAAGAGTATAGCATCCAATTGCACATTCAACCTCAGTAGGACTCGACAAATCTTCCTTTTCATGTCACAGTCAGTTAGTTGTTCATTGAACTCAGGGAACCTGCCATGTTTATGTGTCACATATCTTTCAGACATTAAAGCCAATTGGAGAATGGAGACTGAAAAAATGATACCGGGAAAGTGGTTTGAGTTTGTTCATGCGGGGACTGGGGATGTTAATGAAGATGAGGGTATATGAACGTGATAGCGGTTGGTGGGCTCAACCAACATCTGGTGAGACAGCGTTGGTAGGTGAACGAGAAGGTGATTAGAAGGCTAACTCATGTATCATTTTTCCCATTTTTATCAGGTAAGTGGTCCATTAGGTTGCTGGTATACCCTCCTTCACCTTTTCATTGCCCTCTTCATCCCTTTCCTTTTTCCCCTGTCCTGCATTGTGTACAAATTGTACTTTTTAACATGAGAAAACC